TACTGAATTTTACCTTTTAGCAGCCATGTCCTATGATCGCTATGTTGCCATTTGCAGACCCCTGCATTACACAACCTTAATGAGCAGGAGACTTTGCATTGGACTCGTGTTCTGTTCCTGGTGCTCTGGTTTTGTAGTTGTCATTGTGCCACATATGATGACTCTCCAGTTGCCTTTCTGTGCATCTAACATCATCAATCATTATTGCTGTGACTACACTGTGTTGTTGCACTTATCCTGTTCAGACACATATTTCATAGAAGTGATTCAGCTTGTCCTTGCTGCGGTCACCCTCATCTTCACCTTGGTGCTGGTGATTCTTTCCTACACATACATTATCAGGACCATTTTGCGATTCCCTTCTGTTCACCAGAGGAAAAAAGCCTTTTCTACCTGTTCCTCTCACATGATTGTGATCTCACTTTCATATGGAAGTTGCATTTTTATGTATATAAATCCTGTTAAAGATGCAGCAACTTTTAATAAGAGAGTGGCTGTTCTAAATACGTCCATTGCCCCTCTATTGAACCCATTCATCTATACTCTAAGGAACAAGCAAGTGAAAATAGCCTTCCAAGATATGGTAAGTAAGATAATTATTTCAAAAAAGTGAAACTGTCTTAGGCTCATTATTACTAAGTATGTAGAAGATCACAGTTGTACACAGTTGTAGCTCAAATATATTTCCTACATTATGTAATTAATATTTCCATTTGTACACTGAAACAATGGAATTATTTAATGAAGCCAAAATTTTAATTTAATGTTCTTAAATCAATCTAGATATATGTGTATGTGTTTGTTACCTCTTAACATTTCATTGCTATTTTTCTTTATTTAGATCTCACTTTTAATGCACAAGCTTGGAATAAGGTCAGAATTGAGAATATGACTTTTAGTAGTTTTTTTTAAAAACATGGATGCATTGACATTGGTTCTTTGATTTCTGTATCTGTAAATTAATAAAATTCACAAGCTAAGGACATTTATTTTAACTTATAAATAATAGCATAATATTTTGGTGAATTCACACCAAGGTTATCTTCAAATTTCAAATTCAAATTCAAATTTAGTCTTTTTGCAATAATCACGTAATGCATAGTCAATGTTTGATATAAGAAAGTTATGAAAAAACAGAAAAATTATGTGTTTGTTTTAATATTGATGGGAAAATAGTACGTGGTGATTCATACACAGATTAAGCTCACTGAGCTAATCTGTGAAAGAGATGAAGGAATGTTTCAAGCTTGAGGTCTTAGAAGCATGTCTCCTTAGAAAATTTCATATAATTTGTTGTTATGCCTGCTCATTCATTTATTGGTATTGTGCAATAAACCTCTATTAATATTATTTGTGGTATTAATGATTTTACAGGTCTATATTATATTCATTCTAATTCTTTCTTTCATCAAATAGAGACATGAGTATTCATTATAGTTCTGATCTGGAACGTCCCCTAAAGGCTCATGTGTTAAAAAGGTTAGGTTCCCATAACAACAATGTTCAGTGGTGAGGCTTTTGGGAAGTGATTAGATCATGAGGGCTCTGACCTCATCAATGGATTAATCCATTGAGTGATTTGTAGCTGAATGAATTATTGGGAAGTGGTGGAAAATGTAGGAGGTAGGACCTAGTTGAAGGCATTGGTCCTTGGGGGTGTGCCTTTGGACCTATATCTTGTTGACCCCTTGCTTTCCCCCTTTCTGTCTTTCTCTATCCCTCCCTCTCCTTCTCCTTTTCCCCCTCCCTCTCTCTGCCTTCCTGCTGTCATGAGGTGAGCAGCTTTGCTTTACCATGTCATCTCTACCATGATGTTCTGTCTCACCTCAGTCCTATAGCGATGGAAGCTGACTGTGAGCTGAAACCTCTGAAACCATATGTCAAAATAAATCTTTCCTCCTTTTAGTTGTTTTTCTCAAGTATTTTGTCACAGTGATGTAAAGCTAACACAGTGTTTGTAATCTGATTTCCTTAAGCAGGGACCTCATAGCAAGTATAAGCTGTCATTTTATGAATATTTTTTGTCTAGATTGATATTTTTGAATTCATGGACCAATTCATTATGATATGATTGCTTTAAAATTAGTCTATAGATATTTTTACTCCAATATGTCAAACATTCACATAAAAATCAGTTCTAAAAAGTTGAAATACTTTTATTAAAATTTAGGGTTAGTGACCAATTTGTACTCTTGAATTGACTTTTCCAAAGGGTAATAATGGAGAATTAATACATCAAAGAGATACTAAAAGAATGTTGTTGGAAACCATGAAAGAGAAAGTTGATTTAAAATGTAGAATCTGATAGTTCCTGTAAGCCTAGCCATAATTATATTTAAAAAATCATCCAAAATATCTAAGGTAAACTGATATTAGTGAGGTAGTTAATTTGTTACTTTGTGATTAAGACAGACAGCTATTTGAGGCATGAGTGCACTCATTTGTTGTTTTAAATACCATCCTCAGTATATGAATCATAGTTATCCAAACATTTTTACACCCTAGGATGGTTGTTCAATTTCAAAAGATAGATTAAAAAATTATATATGTAGCTAGCCATTTTAATAACAGAGAGGACTTCCTTTAAAACACACAAATGCACTCAAATACACATTTTAAAAGCCAATCCAGAGTAGCCTACTCAGTGCACACTATATGTGTATTTTGAAATATCACACTGAACCCCACTAATATGAACAACTAATACATGTTAATAAAAATAAGATAAACAGAAAATAGCCTTTTATCTGGAGGAAAAATTGCAGAAAATATGAATTAGCATAATAAAAATTGCAGAAAATATGAATTAGCATAGCATTTTTTTTCACCTGAAATCCTTATCAGCCAGAAATTCTTTGAATCTGCAAAACAGTTATTAATGATACTCAAATTCATATGCATGTAGCATTTCAGCTTGCAAATGATTTAGGAAGTAATAATAAAGTGTTGATTACACATTTAATATTAAATATTTTGTATTTGAGACTTTGAAATTCAGCAATATGTATGAGATGTGTAACCTTGTTATTCACAAGCTCAAGTATATAGTATATTCAATTGTGAGAATGTTTTGAGTATTTATTTATTTATTTTCGGGACTTGTCTAAAATGTTTTTAACTTTGGCAGTATCCTTAAAATAACTCTGCCTTTGAAGTGGTTTCTTTTAGAGTGCTAAAGTGGTATTACAGCAGGAAAGGCAAAGGGTAAGTCAGTGGGCTTACCTTTATCAACAATAATGTGAATCATATATGTACCACTCTGAGGGAAATCATGGAGATTAGTATCACCATTAAGGACTAAAAAGATACAGGTCTGATTCCTACCATTTCTCTGTTCAATTTTCCTATTTGGCCTATGCAGAAGAATGATAAATACTGGAGGGTGACAATAAATTATCATAAATTCTATCAAGTGTTGGCTTCAATGGCAGCTGCTACTCAAGATGTGGTTTTGTTGCTGGGAAAAATCAATATATCCCATGGAAACTTTTTAAGAATGTTTTTCTTTATAACTTTTATTACACATCATCAGAAACAACTGACTTTCATCTGGAAAAGGCAGCACAGCAACATTGTTCCACCCTGCCATATCAACTCCAGTCGTATATTAAGATCTAATCTTTAGGGAATTCTAATCTTTAGGAAATTGATTGCTTTTCACTTCTTCACAACATGACACCATTCCATTTTATTGATGATAATTTTCTGAATGGACCTAGCAAATAGGAAGTAGCAAGGAAACTAGGCACCATTGAAATAGATTTGTTACTAAACTGTAGATAATAGCTTTTATGATTAAAGGACCCGTTACTTCAGTGAAATTTCTAGAGATCCATTGGTTAGGAGAAAGTTGAGATAGCCCTTCCAAAGTGCTAAATGAATACATATGGTCTCTCCTGTTACTAAGAAAGTGTTATGCCACTTACTGGGCATCATTGGATTTTTGGAGTAATAATCACATACTTCTTTGATAGATAAAGATGCTACTTTTGGGTGGGATCCAGAACAAAAGAAGGCTTTGCAAAAGGTCTTGGCTTCAATGTGAGATTGTTTGGCACCCAGTATATCCAATGCTGCTTGGAGTAGCAGACTTATGAATGTAGACAGACACGTTTTGCATGTAGACTTTTGCAGGTTCATATAGGTGAGTCACACTATGCACACCTAGACTTTTAAGAAAAACCAGGACATCCTCTGTAGATGTCTATTGTGTTTTCAATTGGTTGTTTTCAGATTGATGTTGGGACTTAGTAAAGAATGAATGCTTGACCAACTTCCCATGTGATGTTAGCTGTTAAACTTGAGGTAGATGTTGTCTGTCCATCTAGTCATACAGCTGGTTAAGCATAAGCAAAATTCCATCATCAAACAGAAATGAGATTCTTCCTGAAGTCATCCATTAAAAGATGAATGTTGTATATCAGGATAGAGTATCAGCAAGGTCAGAGGGTGCAGTAAGCTGGGAGAGGAGGTAGCACAGACTCACATGTTATCTACTACTATTGCAATATCCCTTTCTTTTTCAATTCATAGCTATATGATTTAATATTTTCTTATCTATATCAAATAAAATATAACACAAATATATCATATGACTTTTTTATTTCATGAGCATAGTATGATATTTTAAAAAATGTTCAAGATAAAAAATTACGATTATTATTTTTTTAAATCTCAATTTCCCACTTTCAAATATACTGAAAAAGAAAACTAAAAATGTGTACCAAGATATAATAAAATCTGGGGAAAACTGTAATCCCAAAGATGTTACATCATATAATTATTTTGAAATCATTAAGATTTTACATAAAATTAAATATGATAATAAGTATTAAACCTACTGCATTCATGTGGAAATAACACTTTCAATGAACTGATACATTAAATTGATAAAACATTTAAAATATATACATTTCAATGAAAGAAAGAGAGAAAGGGGTCATATGTGAGAATACTTATAATAGAAGAGAAAAAAGAATGTTTATAGTTTTGAAAGGAAAACCATTGGGGGAAAATAGCTTTTGTAAATTTCATGACACTTCAGGAAGAAGTGAAAGGCTAAATATGGTAATATATCGAATAATGCAACAGAAAAGAAAATTAGGATCCCATCCAGCTACTTCCTTTGCAATTTTCATTGATAATGAATTTCCTTTATAAACCTCACTGTGATTCTACTTGTTAGATAAAGACAGAACTCTTTGTAGCAAGTCTTTACATGCTTGCTTCACCTGCTGGTTTCTTAGAGTATAAATGAAAGGGTTCAAAAGTGGGGCAACAGAGGTATTGAGCACTGATACTCCTTTCATTAAGGATATATGCTGCTTGGCTGAGGGTTTAATGTACATGAAGATGCAGCTTCCATATGAGATGGAGATGACAATCATATGAGAAGAGCATGTAGAAAAAGCCTTTTTTCTCTGGTTGGCAGAAGGGAATTTCAAAATGGTTAGTGTAATAGATGTGTATGACAGAGCCACTAAAAAGAAAGTAACCAAGAGAGTCACTAAAGCTAGGATGAAGCTCATCATTTCCAATAAATGTGTATCTGTACAGGAGATCTGCAGTAGAGGAGCAGTGTCACAGTAGAAATGATCAATGATATTGGAGTCA